TTGATCTATCAAATTTATTTTGCAAATCTCTTTTGTCTAAATCCATTTTTGTAACCTCTTCGGCCAGCTCTTCGATTCGTGATCTCATTTTTTCATTTTCAGCCACTTCACTTAAGTATTGATCATTCAATGTCATAATCTCTTCATTTAATTCATCAATTTTTTTTCTAAGTCGCTGGTTTTCTTCACATAATCTTTTGATTAAATAAAAGTTAACAATAAATATATTAAAACATATATATAATATAAAATACCTTTTAATTTCCTTAACACTTTCTTTTCTTTTATCTTGAAAATTACGATAAAATGCAAAAACCGAAGAATTATCCTCATTAGTAAGTTCGAAAATTTTCTTCAAATCTTCAAACAATTCAATTTCATGATTATAGATGCATTCGTTTTCATTGGAAGCTTTGCGTTTTTGGTTACTGATATCTTTTATAAAATTATCAATTTGTTTGATTACGAAGGTCTTGGTTATTCTTCCTTGTCGCTGTTCTTTTCTAGATTTTCTATTCACTGATCGTTTGGTAGTTGAGGAGGTACTTGTTATAGTATCTTCGCTATCATCATCTTCGTTCTTTTTATTTTTTTTTTGTGTCGATGGGTTGTTTGTTACATCATAATTATCATATTTTCTTTTATTTCCTTTATTTACTTTACTTCGTAAAACTCGCGAAGACATTTTTTTGAGAGTTGGCCACTCAGAATACTTGTGTTGCCTTAATAAATATTAAATTTGTGCAACCACTTTTAAATAAAATCATCAGCGTGGCTATGATATCTCTTACAGATAACAGACAGATTTGACCTCAAAAGAAATCAAATCGCCGGGTTTGGTATCTCTTACAGATACGAGACAAATTTGATTTGTTACCGACACGGATTCCCGAAGTTATGAATCAAATTGCCGAAGTTATGAATCAAATTTTTCCCTAAGAAATGAATTTATAAAGTGAATATCCGGCAGTATAAAAATATAAAGGAATAATATAAAAAAACTTCCTTAGTATATATTCTTAAGTTCGTTCGATATATAAGAAAAGGATAGATAAGAAAAGTAAGGGTTTAACATCACATTATTTATAGTAATTTAATCGAAATGAATAATTTTGTATGTTTCAGTGAATTACCCCATAATAAATTAAAATTTTTAGAATATACTACAAATATTATTTATCTTGATATCTGATATAAGTAAAGTCAAAAAACCAGTTTTTCTAAAATTTTCATACTAACGCACTTAAAATTAGAATAATTTTTATATTAGTTCCAAATTTGGCAAAATACATAATGATTTTTTTATACGCTTCATCTTTTGTAAGTCCCCATTATTAGATATCAGATATGAATGTGAAATAATGCAACAAATATATTTCTTTTAATAAGATCTGCAACTTTATTTGGCTTGATTTACTGCCGGAAATTACAGTAGAACAGGTTTTTTGATATTGTTAACGTTAATTTAAATATATCGATATAGATAAAGTAAATTGTATAATTATGTTAGCGTTATAATATATATCGTTATTTTACATTACATAAAATTTTATACTACATATAGTATAAACTAAAAATTTTTAGAATATGCTACATATAAAAAATATCAAAAAAAGTATAATCATGTAATTTTCTATATAGTAGAAAATTATACATTTGTTTATATAATTCAAAAGAGATAATCTCAGTCAATTATCATAACCTGTTCGAATTTTTGACTTTTTTTTTAGAGCATCACACAAACAAAATAAAGTTTCATACGAGAAAAATTATCAGTTATAACTTTATAATAGTGATTCTAAAGCTTGAAAAGTTTATCATTCATGAGATTTTGTCAAAACTTCTAACATTATATTTGAAGTAAATAACACGCGACGATAGCTGCTAAAAGTGGCTGTTGGATTCTATTATCAAAACAGCTGAATTAAGAAGTTTATTTACTGGTCTTGGCAGTAGATTAGTCATTTTAAATATTTAGAAGCACATATCGCGAGGATTCATAAAACTACATTATCAGAGTTACAACAACAACGAAATATTTCAACACAGAGAAGACCTGAAGAAACTACTAACTCACACCAAGAAACACCCAATCTTCGTAGGGATGCTTCAGAACAATTGGCACAAGAAAATACTACTAACTCAGCTGATTCTTTGACACCTAATTTGTCTCAAGAACCCATTTCTATAAGTGATGAAAATTTTATTCTTGATAATCAGATTAGCAGAATTGTTTTTACTCATTCAACATTTAATAAATGTACTTTTAATTTTCCAAATCGATAAGCTTTAATTGAAATATAATATTGTGTTCTTTCTTTCAGAATTTTGTGGTAGAACCATATTAGCATTTCTCATATTTTTTTAAAATTCCAACATTATGATTTTATCCAATAATCTTTTAACTATTAGGCTTTTTTATATCATAATTAATTTATACGGTGGACAAAATCTAGTCAAGTCAATTTTGACCTAAACCTAATAGACAAAATTATCGCAGGTAGAATCATGTGACAAATTCTGTCTTCAATTTTAAATTGTGACAATAAACAGATATAAATTAATCCAAAAAGTATATATTCCAAAATTTTATATAAAGATCCTGATTGTGCAAAACGATGGATGCTCGAGTCAAAAAACTTAATGAGTGTTATACATATACCCAATAACCAAATCAAACCAAGGTAATTTGAATTAGAATACCAATCAATGTTAATGTTATTTAACCAAGAAAAGCTGCCGTAATTAACGAATGAATACCACTTCCACGTTGAAATCACAATTCTTGAAATTAATGCTACATATTTTATTACCCTTTTGTTGGGTAATAAAGTTAACAATGCACCAGGACCAAACATAAAGAAATTAATTCTGTAGACATTTGCCATGTCTTCATAGCTGTAAAATGTAAAAAAAAACATTAACTATATGAAGCAGATCAAAAATAATAGAAGAAATAGAATTTATATAGAATTTACAGTAACAAAGGTCTAATTGATAATCCAAAGATTCCAGATACCTAAATACAAAAAAATACGAATTTAGCTAAAAATTAAAAAAAGACAGTATTATAAATTTAAAATTAAACATACACTAAAAATAACACCTAAGGAAAAAAAAATAATGCTGCGTAGACTATGAGAAAATGGTTTCGTATAGCTTTTTCTTGATTTGAAAATCACGTACTCATATTTCTACAAGTTAGAATTTAAATCTGATTAAGTTTCTAATTGTTTTATATATACTCGGTAAGAATTATTTCATCATATATATATAAAACTGAGAAAAATAAAATATATTAAAGATCATATATATTTTAAAACTGTAAGTTTTAATTTTATAAACTATACTATTGCAAATCCTATATATTTTAAAACTTGTTTTTTAAAGAAGTTAACTACTATCTTTATCTTGTTTGTATGCTAGTTATTTATTATACTGCTTATATATCGAAAAAAATGTTATATAACCGACTATATAGTCAGATTAATTCATTGTTCATGTGCCTTTTTACTTATATATTTCTAAATTAAATATTAATATAACAATAGTATATTGTAGATCTTTTAACAGTATTATACATTTTTAATTTTGTTTAAATGAGAATTCATTGAACTGAAATATGATAAATTGACTCGTTTATTCTCTCTTATCCTTTTCGTCTACGGCAAGACAGATCGTTCTTTGAATACATAGAAAATAATTTTTTCAGAAAGCACGTGTAAAAACAATAGCTCATGTTGCTATTCTTTGGGCATGATCATATCATAAAAGCCAAAGTAAGAATGTAACTCTTTTCCTACATTACGCAGTTAGTGAGAACACACTTTAATTGTCTTTTTTCAAATTCTTAAAGAGAATACATTAGTCTTCCCAATGACTGAAAAGCAAGTTCTTGAGAGTACCAGTATAATATATTTATTGAATTTTTATAGCATCAAATATTTGAATACTTTTCAGATATAATAAAGCAGCTCTAGACAATCTAAATCGATGGTTAGTCATTTTTTCAGATAATCTGGACTTGTTGAAATTTCACACCAAAGAATACCGTAAATTTGGCAAGCATAATAAAGCTCTGAATGATCTAAATAAATTGTTAGGCATTTATTCGAATAACCCGTACTTGTTGAAATTTTGCACCAAAGAATACTGTAAATTTAGCAAGTATAATAAAGCTCTAGACGATCTAAATAAATTGTTAGGTGTTTATCCGAATAACCCGTATTTGTTGAAATTTCGCGCTAAAACATACCGTAAACTTGGCAAGCATGAAGAAGCTCTGTACGATCTAAATTGATTTTTAGGCATTTATCTGAATGACAAAGTTGTGTTACAATTTCAAGGAGAAGTAATGATCAATATTTCGACCGAAGTATTGAAAATAAACCCAAATAATGAAGAAGAGATGTTGCGTATTCGAGCTCAAGCATATATTAAAATTGAGAAATATGATAAAGCTTTAGTCGATCTGAATAGATTATTAGAAATTAATTGCAAAAATGAAGAGATATTGAGTATTTGAGCTCAAGCATATACTGCGATTGGTGATTATAAAAAAGCTTTCATCGATCTGAATAGTTTATTTGAAATTAATCCCAGTAATAAGAAGGCATTAGAATGTTGTTTTCTTCTAGATGAAGAAAGTTCATATCATAAATTTATAAATTTTTTTGATGCTTGACAAACTATTTAGTTTGTAGTTCGTAACCTTGTGTCTTCGTTTAAAAATTCACTTAACAGGTACTTTCGATTATACATGTTGGCAAAATCTCAAATTACTATTGTTTGAATTTGTCCAAATTAATTTCTCAAAAACTTTATTAATAATTTTGGTTAAACAAATAGTAG